TGAACTTAAAAAAAGTGTATAAATCTCACTGATTTTCAGATAGACTGTTTTAATTAAAAATCCTTCATCTCCAGTGCTGCAGCATTAGGAGTTACTGGAGGGCTCCGATGTTAACAAGAGGAAATTCCTTCTTTTCATCCCCTATAGAAGTGTTGTGCAGAAGTGCTGTTCTGTTTCTTCCCCTGGCAGCCTTGCACATCCTTCCCCCTCCATCCTCCCTCTGCTGAGTCAGCACCGACACAGGGCTTGTGCTGATGTGGCTGTTCTGCTTCTGGAGTGGGAGGAAGATGGGTAGGTGCGAGCATCCCATATTTGTGTTAGATATGCATCATTTGTCTGCTCTTCTCACTCCTCCTATCCCTTCCAGTGACATTTTGTAGTATCCCATTACTTCGCCATTCCTCAGTGACTGAGGTCTTTTAGGGAACAGAGAAAACAATCCCAGTCAACACAATTTTTGATTGTTTTGCAAATGGCTGGGTTTAAGAACAGTGGCTGGGATGTTCTTCTTGTTCAGTATTTTCTGAGAGTGTGCTTGAATTTTCATTGTGTGAATGAAATGTCAACCAGGATTTTTTTATTTAGAATTCTAAATCAATAGATATGATGGACTGTAGTTTCTAAGTATGTGAACTTCAATCAAAAGGCAGATTAAAAATTGATGGTTGCCATAGTATCTTTTCCATGAGTCATGATCTTGCAAAAAAAGCCAAAAATAGCTATAGAACCTAATCTTGGAAGAGGCTCTGAACCTATTTTCTCTTCTTCAAAAAGGCTCTTCAATAAAGAGTCTAATTTCCTTTTGGTCTATTTTTCCCCCCTTTTCAATTGTGTTTTACAAAAAAAATCCTCTTCTCACAGATATGTGTTATGTAATACACTCATGATATGTGTGCAATGACTGGAAAGAAATTAAATTTTTTCATCTTTACCTATGATCAAATATATATGGTTCTTTACTGAGTTCAGCAGACTCCTGAGTACTGGATAGTTCTGAGGCACTTGACTTGAATTTACATTTACATTGAAAGTTAGAGTACTTAGAAAACTCATAAAAAAGTGAATTGCAGTGATAAATTGGACCACTAGGGGATGCTAGTGCTTAAGGGTTAAAGTCTGGATTCGGCTCCAGTCGGCACCCTGGTTGTGGGAGGTCCCGTGGGGGCTCTTGCCTGGCTGGCAGATTTCTGGACCTACAGATAGTAGTAATTCAGTGACCAAAGTTCAGTGTCTTAATCATAAAACATCAGTAGTAAACATTAATCTTACCTCTGGGATCACCTGAGGGGGAGACAAAAATGTGAAGGTGGAGAAAGCAATTCAAGAAAAGAATGAAACAGAGAGCAGAAAGAATAAAATCTACTTCACTCACTTTTCTGGGGTTTTAGAAAATGGCCATCAGCATTTATCTCTAATGTTTAGAGCAAAATGTGGGGAAAGAAGAGAAAAAAATCTTACCAACAGACTGTAAGAGATTAAAAAAATACAGTTTATGGGAAGATCTGAATAGCTGGGGTATCCTTTTGTTCCGTTGTCTAAACAAAAACATGTGAATTAAGATTTAGGAATTGATTTTTGGTTCATGAGTGGTTCCATTGATTTGTCATCTAGAGATGGTAAGATAGTAGTCCCAAGTAAACATCAGAGATTTGTGAAAAGAAGAACGAGGTACATTTCCTAAAGAAGTAGGTTGTGTCTGTGCAAATGTACAAGTCTGGGAGCATCACAGCTCATTGGAACCCCAGGGAGCTGTTGCTATAAAGCGAGTGAAGAGCACCAACCAGCCTTGGTGCACCTTCAACGTAAGGAAATCAACAGAAAGACTAGAGTGTGGTAGTGATCAACTGCTAAAGCGGGTAGAAACA